ACAAGAGTTTGGGCTAGGCACTTGGAGCAGTGAAGTAGAGAGGCAGATTATGAATCCAGCGAGATTCCTCTTGGCAGCACGCACAGGTTTTGGCAACTAGTGATGGAAGTCAGACACAGGATGATTCTGATTTACGTGAAAGATTTTCACAGTGGTGTAAGGGGGGTGGTGTAGGAGAACATCTTGCATTCAAAACCTTGCCCAACTCCATCCCAACTACAGCTGGTCCAATAAGGTATTGCCCAGAGACCTTTGTCTCTTGCAAAATCATCGCAGCCTAGATGTGGCCAGTGACATTTGCAGTCCTACTCCAGCAGAGGCAACAGCCCTTGCTAAGAACACCTTTGATACTGGATTTGTGCAAGGCCTCCTGCTGCACTACCAGACTTCTCTGCTACAAGAGTTCCTGAATCATGTACTTGTACCAATGGGGATTGCTCACTAAGAAACGTTAAGTGCTTTGGCTCCTGTGAAAGGACATATCACTTCACTGCTGCTGCCATGAGACAGCACTGCTTGGGTTTAAGACAAGTGTTTTATTACGACAGGCAAGGGTACATTGCACATGGCAATGCAGTAGCATCAGATAAATCATTCAGGTGGCATAGAGCAGCCAGCAAGCTTTATTCAATGTGAAATCAACTTCCTGAGCAGAGAGGGAAAAGAACGGACACCAGACCTGTGGCCGAGCACTCAACACAGCTTTATTTGAAGGACCCAAGGCTCCCACAGGACTCACACTACATTACAACCAACCCTCCAGCGTGCTCCAATACTTTAGCTGAATGACATGTGGCCGAACTGGCAGAGCAGAGGCTGCTCTCTCTACTTGACCTTCTTCTTAGGGCGCAGGTTGTTGGTGTGGCCACACTTCTTCTTACGGCAGTTCACAGCACGCGGGTGCAGGCGGGCGTAGCACCTGTAACAGAGAAGCCATCAGCTCTCGGCAAATGGATGATTTTCTCTGGAGCATTCTGCCTCAGGCTGCAAAACCCAAACCCAATTCCCTTCAGAAGTGGTAGCACTGGCAGGTGTTGCAGTAGGTTAAGATCTGCTTCTTCAGCCCAATTCCTTCTAGGCAGAGTGGCCTGCTACGCTAACTGGCTGAGCAGTGCACCGATGAGTGCTCACTCCACAGACCCCAGACATTTGATCAAGGTTGACCAAAGCCATGTGCCCCAATGCAGAGGAGGCAGCAGCCTGCTCCCTTCCCCCTGCCATCCCCCAAGCCTATGGGACAAGTTCCACCAGCGAGAACCTACTTGCGGCAGATCATTTTGTCGCAGTTGTATTTCTGCGCGAGCTGACGGAGGGAAGGCTCGATGATGCCTCCACGCAAACGCAGCACCAAGTGCAAAGTTGACTCTGGAAAGGGAAACACGCCAAGGTCAGGAGAAGCAATGGGGCACTCGCTCCTATTTGATACCTCTCATGGGAAACAGAGCCAGGATTTCTGTACCAGGGGCTTCCCAGAGTTATTGCAGCAGTTAGCTGTCCTCATTAACAGTCAAGCTTTATTCTAATCCAAAAAAACAGCTGAAGTCGCATCAATCTCTTCTGTTTCATTTAAAAAAGGTTCTTTTATTATATTTTCCCTGAGACTTTGTATAATCCTTGAAACCCTTTTCTGAGCTCTTTCCAATTTGATTTTTTTTTCCTTTGGGGGAAAAAAAAAAAAAAAGAAGATGCACTGACACCAGAAGCGAGTACAGCTTCCCAGTAAAACTGTTGTACTGGCATCTCGTGTGGTTCATACAAACCTGACTACTTCCAGAGCTCAAGGGCTGTACCTGCTGCTTGCCACTGCCCTGCCCCATGGACCAATGCAACAACAAGTCAGGCCTGGCTCTTAGGAGGCTGATTACAGCATCCAGGTGGATGTAATCAAAACCCTTTTGCCTGGTGCTCGTCAGACACCACCCAGTCTCCACTGGCTGCTCAGGTCCTCCTTTCAGTTGTTTACTGACCGCGCCTGGCACCACTGAGCAATACCTTTCTGGATGTTGTAGTCGGAAAGGGTGCGGCCATCCTCCAGCTGCTTCCCAGCAAAGATCAGACGCTGCTGGTCGGGGGGGATGCCTAGGAGAGAGGATCCAACAGGGAACGCAGCTCAGGCTTCACTGCCAGCCAAAGAGCAAACATGTAACCAGGGACACTGAAGTGCTGGGAGACAGCAGGGTACCCGGGCATGGGGAGGTGGGACTGCCACCCCAGCAGCTCCATGCCTGGGGCCTCCAACTGGGCTGCGCCCATTCTCCTGCTAGGAGCAAAGCTGCAGAGTCTTGCCCCTGCGCTTGGCGCCAAGGTGGCATTTTACCCCATGGACAGCAGGGCTTCCTTCCTCGACAGAGGCATGGCCTCCGCCTGGGACCTCCCAAGTGCAGATGGACGTTTTATGGGAGCAGGACACCGGCGTCATGCGGGGCAGGCTGGGCTGCTGGGGCCGCGCCATGCCTCGGCCGTTTTACACAGCGTTTCAGCGCCGGACGCATCTGGGACCGATCCTGCCTAGGCGTGGCCCAGGCTGCCAGGCGGCCCCAGAGCCAGAGGGGCGCAGAGCCGGGCCAGGTGCCAGCGGGTAGCCCGCGCCGCCGGCACCTACCCTCCTTGTCCTGGATCTTGGCCTTGACGTTCTCGATGGTGTCGCTGGGCTCCACCTCCAGCGTGATGGTCTTGCCCGTCAGCGTCTTCACAAAGATCTGCATCGTGGCGCCCGGGTCCTGGGGAAGCGGGCGGCGCCGTCAGCCCCCCACGTCGGGCCCCAGCCACGGCCACCACCCCCACGCGTGTCCCAGCCACATGCTCCTGCCCTCCCACGTGGGCACCAACCACCCCCTCCACCGCACCCACGTACCCCAAGCAGCAGCACTCCCACCCACGTGACCCGGGAGCCCCCACGCGTGTCCCAACCACGTGCCCCCAGGCCCCACACACCGCTACCGCCGCCGCGCTGGAGAGAGAGAGGAAGAGAGGCCCAGCGGAAGCGGAAACGGCCTCTGACGCCACAACCGCCGCACCTCACCGCCCACCGCGCTGCGTCACAATGTCTGGGCCAAGGCCCCGCCCCCTCCCCAGCACACGTGGGGCCGGAAGGCGGAGCGGGGGCACCGGGCGGGGCGGGGCGGGGCGGGGGAGGCCGCGGGGCTTGAGCGGCAGCTTCCAACTCCCTGCAGCGGCGCACAGAGCACGGGCGGCGGATACCGGACAGGGAGCGACGGGCTCCCGCTGCAGCGAGGGAGGTTGAGGGAGGATGCGAGGAAACGCGTCCCGCTGGGAAAGCGCTGGAGCAGGGGGTCTCCATCCCTGGGCGGGCGGGGGTCAGGGCCCTAAGGACAAAGCCTGGGCTGGGATGATGGGGCTGGGGCTGGGGCTGGTCCTGGGCGGGCTACATGATTTCCTGAGGTCCCTTCCACCCTCCGCTCCTGACGCCTGTGCCCGCCATGTCTGTCCCCCCCCCCCGCACCGCGCTGCAGCTGCTTGTGCTTTCCACACAGCGCCAGCGACCTCCAGTGTTCAAGCAGTTACTTCTGCACACAGGCTCGTGTCCCCTTTCACCCGCGGGTACAGGAGAGGCTGGCTGCACAGCACTTCCCTTGAAAACAATCACAGTTGCAGCCTGGCTTTCATCCTAGTGGCTGTTCTCCCATTATTTGCCCCTCCAACCCACCTCATCTCCCCCCACAACATGCCACAGGAGTGACCGTTCCAGATTAGGAACTAATCTGAGCAGTAATCACATCACAAGAGTTTGGGCTAGGCACTTGGAGCAGTGAAGTAGAGAGGCAGTTAATGAATCCGGCGAGATCCCTTTTGCCAGCACGCACAGGTTTTGGCAACTAGTGATGGAAGTCAGACACAGGATGATTCTGACTTATGTGAAAGATCTTCATGGTAGTGTAAGGGGGGGCCTAACCCTCTTACTACAAGAGCTCCTGAATCATGTATTAGTAGCGAGGCCAAGACAGGGTGCGGATGGATCGTTTATTGAAGGATTTGCGCGGGCAGGTTATTTTCTCCACTGTTGTACAAAAATATTTGCTTTCAAATCTCCCCAGGGCCAGAGAAGCCTTCCCCCCGCACCCCTGGGCCACGCGCAGGTTGTGCTGTGGGCATGGATGAGGGTGACACTAGGGACACACACAAGAGGCAGACATGCCCAGACAGCCCCTGTGGCAGCAGGGGCACGGGGGGAAACACGCGAATACAAGCGCTCGGAGCCTTGCGGCGACACAGAGGGAGCGCGAGCTGCAGCCGTGGCCTGGTCAGAGCCTGCCGGCTGCCAGGTCTCTGCTAAGCAGCGTATGTGCAGTTAGAAAAGCAGCCCTCACGCAGCAATGGGGCAGCAGAGTACCGGGGAGAGGAGCCAGGCTCCAGGCAGCAGCTGAAGACGCACAGGGCTACAGGAAGCACTGGCCTGTGGCTTACACTTGCCCCGTCTACGGGGCCATTTTGCTACCATAAAGGAGAGCATTTCCCCAGGACGGAAGCAGCTCTTGCTTCCCGTGCATACCCCTCCTGCCCGCTGCAGCAGAGCCCTGTACCAGGCCAGCAGGAGGGCTGCCAGATTGACATGCACTGCAAGTTACAGAAGCTGAGATGGGTGAGAAACAGTAAATTCTGTAAGAAAAGGACACGCACAGAAGCTGTTAGGAGCACAAGACCCCTGTTTCCAAGGAACTAAACATCCCAACCCGCCCACTGGGGCTCCTGCTCTCTCCTGAACACGCAAATGCGAACAGATAAAGACATTTCAATCCATTTACTCGCCTGCCCCAGGTAGGCTTGGGGGTTGCGATCAGATGACGGCAGGTAGAAAGACAGAGAGGGACCTTCCTCTGCTGGACCTTCACTTCCCCTCCCCAGAAATTAAATGGTCAAGGAAACACACAAATATAAATACAGGCCAGGAAGTCCACGGGTGCTGCACAGTTCCGGCGGCTGACTGGGCTCGTGCCATACATTCCCGACACCCTTAGTCCAGGTCATGGGCCATTTCGTCATCTGTGAGACTCTGTCCATTGACAGCTGGTGAATCATACTGGCTTTGCGACAAATCCTCAAAATCCTGACTCATGGTTGGAGAAATAATGTCGGGGCTTGTGTCACAGGACTCTGTGCTCTGCTCAGAGGTAGCAATTGTTGTTGCTGTGCTTTTGGGAATAGGATCGAAATCATCATCATCTTCCAGAATTGGAGATTCGTGAATATCTGAAAGAAGAGACAAGTTCTGTACTTCTGCTGCTCACACCACCTGGAGGGAGTGGGCAGCTTCCCGGTATTATTGCCCCAGGTGCCGCTCATGTTAACCCAGAGTAAGTGGCAGTCCAGCAAAAGCATAAGGATCTCAAATGTGAAATTCTGGCTGCTTTGCAACCCCCTCCCCCAGGTCCCAACCCCCATCTTTCCTGGGTGTCACAGAGGCATCCAACAAGGAAACTAGAGACTCCAACTGGAGTCAGATGCTGGCACAAGCCTGCATCCCTCTTCACTTTTTGCTCTGAAACCCTGAGATTTGAGCATGGCAGGTCATGTTTTTTCAGACTCCTCAATTTGCGAGGAAACCAACAAAGGTGCAAGTCAGACAACAAGGAGACACTCACTGCTGAAAGCCTCTGGGTATTGTTTAGCTAACTTCCCTTTCAGAGTCCTGTAAAAAAAGGGAAAGAGAGAGAGATGCACTTAAACAATGCGCTGCACATGCACTAACCAATCAGCAGCTGCACGTTCAACCCAACCAGCTTTTACCTAGCCCTTTTCTAAATGAAACCTTAAAGCAGATGAAGGTAAAATGCCCTCATGCAGCAATGTTTGGCCTGCAGCACAAACACAAACATTAACACCAGCTGGTAATGAGATCTGGGCCCTGCTTAACAAAGTGAGGCATGAAGTGTCACCATCTTGGTTAAATCTCCTTTCACCAGCTGTTCCCCAAGAGGAAGTTTGTGTTTGTAGCAGCTTTTCATTAAGCTCTGCAGCAAGTGCTAAGGGAGGCCAAAGTCCTTCCCTCCCTCCCTCCCTCCCTCGGGAAGGGGCTCCGCTGCAGGGCTGAGAGGTCTCGCATGACCACTCAGGGCACGTCCATCAGTACTCCCCATGCTGCTCGTCCCACTTCAGGCATTTAGCTGTTGTGCATGATCCATTTCTCAACCTACCTGTTGTAAATCAGCAAAACCACCACAGCTTTACAGAACTGCAGCAGCCTCGTGACAACACCACCTTAGCAAAGGCAAGGCTTTCACCAGAGTAAAAGCCTAGAGGTTTTCAAGTAGCCTGTATTGCTTCTCTAGACCTTCCAACCAAGGCCCTCAAATCCCTCTGCACACATTCAAGCCTCACAACTCCTCCAAGGTGGGTCTCGACCATCTTCATTGTACACAAGGACCAAGAGGTGAAGTAACTGGATCAGTCACGCAAAGACTGACTATTGGGCGTAGCAGCACAATCCCCACTACTCCCTTCCCATTCCCTCCGAGTTCTTGCCTGGCAAAGCAGAAGCACTTTGTGTGTCCCTGTTGGTGCAACCCTCCTGAGCTCCCCCGCAAAGATGCACCAGGACTGAGATTCCCGTCTCCTTTGAGACACCGTGTCCCAACAACCTGCTTGGGGCGGGCTCATGTGGCAGGACTCCCTTGCAGTTCTACCCCCCACCCCACCTCCAGGAGGCACTGCACCCGCACGCAGCCCCCCCCAGCCCTCGAAACGGGACCCCACCTGATTCTCCGGAAGATACTATCTAGATCTTTCTTCATCTCCACCAGCGTCCTGGTGTGATGCAGGAATCGCTCGTTCATCTGCTGCATGCGAACATTGGACAGGTTATTAAAGTTGAGCAGCATCTCATTGGTTTTCTCAAATCGATCCAGCCTAGTTTGGGGAGAAGGAGACATGCAGAATTTGTCCACATGTTCTCAGAGACAAAACGCAACCAGACCAGGCTCTCCACATTTAGCTCCAAACAACCCCCCAACCCCCAAGCCAAAGCAAGAAAACAATGGTCCGTCTTGCCCTCAGACAGGTGTTGAAACTCTGATGGCTGCGTTTCTGCCTGAAGAGCCACATATATGGGTTTGTACCCTGCCGAGGACCCCAAGAAGTCATCATTGTTCTCGGTCTGCAGTTCTCAGAACAAGACCAAAGCCCAAACTAGTCTCTACCGAAGGGAAGTTACCAGAAAAATGGTCAAAAAACCCGAAAGTAGTAAGAAGGAGGAGAAACAAAGGACAGAGACAAACCAGCGTAATGAGGCTAGGCAGACTTTTCCCACCTAAAATCCTGATTTTGTCCTGTAGCAATGGGGGCAAGTAACAGCCCTGCAGAGCACTGGCCCGTTTGTCCCCTAGCCCAGCATAACTGAGGGCAGCAATGGAGGTTTTCCCACCGCCTCCTGCCCAGCCCCCGCTCTCCCTGCCCAGGGCTGCCTTGGGCCACCCGAACCAGAACGAGGCCTCAAAGGTGGCGGGATGGACCTGCCGCGCGGCCTCCCGCTAATCCTCAAGGGTGACCAGCACGTGCTGCCTCGCGGGGGTGGGTCCCACCTCCCTGGAGCAGGCAGGGACGCTGCTGCTGTCGAGCCCCCCCAGCACTCACATGTTCTTCTGGGCCAGGATGATGGCGTTGACATCCTCCGCGTTCACCATGCTGAGCACCCGGCTGCAGAACACGTCGGAGGCCGTGGGCTCCATCGCCCCGTCGGCTGCCACCTGGGGAGACACGGGGGTCCCGGGGAGGCGTCACGGGGCAGCCCCCCACGGCAAATCACACTACCCCTCTTTCCCACCACCACCAAAAAAATGAAGGTAGTAAAATAAAAATAATTGCTGTTTGTGAAGCTACAGTATTTCAGAGTTTGGAAAATATAAGAAAGTGACAACTCAGTAGACGTTCTTTTCTTTTCAAATATGATAGTATATTTTTACAAAATAAACAGTCAAACTAACCACATCTTTGCATGTTAGGACAAGTCCAAAGTGAGTTCTTAATGCTTTGTTGTAAGA